TGGTAATTACACTTAACAAAGCTACTATTTGATCATGATGTGATACATTTTGGAAATTCAAGTTTTCTTTTAAAAGCTTGGAGTGATAGTTACAGTATATCTTAGTGTGTGTGTATACATAAATATCAAATTAACTTAAAATACTACTTTAGGAAAATGTGGAAAAGAGTTACAGAAAAGAGTATTTTCTCCCCTTCAAAATCAGGGGTATAGAAAATTTCTACTCATTGAAGAATCATCCTTTTGTCAAAAAAAATAGTTATATTTATATTATTATAATAGGACATTTAAAGCAATGGACAACTCTCTCGCTCCATTCCTCAGCTGTTCCTTTCCTCTCTTTGAGTTTCCAGTTCCTTCCTGACTTCATATCAACTGTTAACCGGTTGTCTGGTGAATCTGTATTAACTTTCACCGCAGCACATTCTGCCCTCAAGCGCTCATATTTAAGCACTAATCCAAAATGCACTTTCGTTCACACCTCAAATATATATAATATATAATTTTTGTGTTAAATGGGGGTGTTGTGGTACACTGGTATTGGCGATAACACAACAATGACATGAAAAGTGCACAGCACTAAACTATTACATGTAATCTATGTTTCCTTCATACTCAATGCTGGAGGGTGCTCTCACACAGAAAATTAAACTGATGCTTTAACGCAAGTTTGGAGTAAAATATGTTGTAATTTCCATAAATTGTTGTACTTTGATGTTGTACTGATGAGAAAAACAAACCTTTTCGAAGCTTTGAATCAGTTGAACAATTTGCTTTGCAAAATGATTCACTGTTTTTAAACGCTCGAATGCTGGTGATGCCTGCTGGACAGTATGGTGTAAACGTAACAAAAACTTGAGCCAAAACGTGCATAAATACAGCTTTTACAAACCCAACGCAAATGTTTTGTTGAAAGTAATATTAATATTAAATACAAGTAATAAGTCATCAAATACTATTAAATATGAATCGACGCCGCCAAGAAGTCAGGGCCGGTGGGCCTGAGAGAGCTGCGGCCGGCCGCTGCAACGACGACAAGCCCGCCGGCAGCCCAATTTATCCGTAATTAGAAGAGGAGAAATGCATGGCTCAGGGCCCTCTTCTTCGACTGAGTGCGCCCCCCCCAGTGCTTGATCCAATGTCGGCTCGAGCCCCAGAGCTCGCTCCCGTGTGGGCTCCGGTTTCCAAGGTTAGCCCACGTAGGGCTCCTGTTCCCGAGTTTAGCCCACGGAGGGCTCCTGTTCCCGAGTTTAGCCCATGGAGGGCTCCTGTTCCCGAATTTATCCCACAGAGGGCTCCTGTCCCCGAGTTTAGCCCAGTGAGGGCTCCAGTCCCCGAGTTTAGCCCAGTGAGGGCTCCTATCCCCGAGTTTAGCCCAGTGAGGACCCCTGTCCCCGAGTTTACCCCAGTAAAGGCCCCTGTCCCCGAGTTTACCCCAGTGAGGGCCCCTGTCCCCGAGTTTAGCCCAGTGAGGGCTCCTGTCCCCGAGTTTACCCCAGTGAGGGCCCCTGTCCCCGAGTTTAGCCCAGTGAGGGCCCCTGTCCCCAAATTTATCCCACAGAGGGCTCCTGTCCCCGAGTTTAGCCCAGTGAGGGCTCCAGTCCCCGAGTTTAGCCCAGTGAGGGCTCCTATCCCTGAGTTTAGCCCAGTGAGGGCCCCTGTCCCCGAGTTTACCCCAGTAAAGGCCCCTGTCCCCGAGTTTACCCCAGTGAGGGCTCCTGTCCCTGAGTTTACCCCAGTGAGGGCCCCTGTCCCCGAGTTTAGCCCAGTGATGGCCCCTGTCCCCGAGTTTAACCCAGTGAGGGCCCCTGTCCCCGAGTTTAGCACAGAGAGAGTTCCAGTCCCCACGTTTAGCCCAAGGAGGGCTCCAGTCCCTGAATCCAGTCCAGAGTGCCCCCCAGTGCTCGCTCCTCCAGAATGCCCTCATGACCCCGTTCCTGCCAAGATGCCCGTAATTCAATTGCAACTCAAGCCCGCCTTGACAACGGCGCAACCAGCGGGCCTGACTTCGTGGTGGCCGGCGGGCTTGAGTGAGCTGTGGGCGGTGGGCCTGACTTCGTAGCGGCCAGCAGGCTTGACAACAGCGCAGCGAAGCGTGAGTCGATCTCCATCATCGTGGGGGAAAAACCAGGAAAAACTAAAAGACTTTCAAAACGAAAAACAAACACGGAGAGAAAGGGCGCCACTTACTACTGTCATGGTCGGGTCTTCTGTCACGGTTGCCTACAGGAGGAGCGCGGAGCGAGGAGACGTGGAGTACATCAACAAGGAGATTTTAATGAACTTCAGAAGGGGAGACACAGGGCAGGCAGGAACACAACATGTAGTACAACATCGACGTTTAAGACCCGACAGAGACAGACTGAACCGACTAGAACTTAAGTACACAGGGAAACGAGGATAATTAACTAAACACAGCTGGAAACAAATGAAGAACTAATCAGGGAAAAGGAAGGACCAAATAAGGGCATAAGGAAACATAGGAAGCACGTGGGGGAGGAAAACACAACACATGACAGGAACAGGGTCTGACAATGAAGTGTCTGTATATAAATGTATCACTAAAAGACTATATATATTATTTATTTAGTATAATATTTTTTCTGTATACATTTCTATATACACTGCTCAAAAAAATTAAAGGAACACTTTTTAATCAGAGTATAGCATCAAGTCAATTCAACTCCTGGGATATTGATCTTTTCAGTTAAGAAGCAGAGGGGGTTGTTAATCAGTTTCAGCTGCTTTGGTGTTAATGAAATTAACAACAGGTGCACTAGATGGGCAACAATGAGACGACCCCCAAAACAGGAATGGTTCTAAAAAAATTTCCCCTACTCATCTTTTCTGACTGTTTTTCACTAGTTTTGCATTTGGCTAGGGTCAGTGTCACTACTGGTAGCATGAGGCGATACCTGGAGCCTACAGAGTTTGCACAGGCAGTCCAACACCTCCAGGATGACACATCAATATATGTCACTGCCAGAAAGTGTGCTGTGTCTCCCAGCACAGTCTCAAGAGCATGGAGGAGATTCCAGGCGACAGGCAGTTACTCTAGGAGAGCTGGACAGGGCTGTAGAAGGGTCCTTAATCCATCAGCAGGACCGATATCTGTTCCTTTGTGCAAGGAGGAACAGGATGAGCACTGCCAGAGCCCTACAAAATGACCTCCAGCAGGCCACTGGTGTGAATGTGTCTGACCAAACAATCAGAAACAGACTTCATGAGGGTGGCCTGAGGGCCTGACGTCCTCTAGTGGACCCTGTGCTCACTGTGGAGCTCGATTGGCATTTGCCATTAAACACCAGAATTGGCAGGTCTGCCACTGGCGCCCTGTGCTTTTCACAGATGAGAGCAGGTTCACCCTGAGCACATGTGACAGACATGAAAGGGTCTGGAGAAGCCGTGGAGAACATTATGCTGCCTGTAACATTGTTCATCATGACCAGTTTGGTGGTGGGTCAGTGATGGTCTGGGAAGACATATCCATGGAGGGACGCACAGACCTCTACAGGCTGGACAATGGCACCCTGACTGTCATTAGGTATCGGGATGAAATCCTTGGACCCATTGTCAGACCCTATGCTGGAGCAGTGGGTCCTGGGTTCCTCCTGGTGCACGACAATGCCCGGCCTCATGTGGCGAGAGTATGCAGGCAGTTCCTGGAGGATGAAGGAATTGATACCATTGAATGGCCCCCACGCTCACCTGACCTAAATCCAATAGAACACCTCTGGGACATTATGTTTCGGTCCATCTGACGCCGCCAGGTTGCACCTCAGACTGTCCAGGAGCTCAGTGATGCCCTGGTCCAGATCTGGGAGGAAATACCTCAGGACACCATCCTTCGTCACATTAGGAGCATGCCCTGACGTTGTCAGGAATGCATTCAAGCACGTGGGGACCATACAAACTACTGAGTACCATTTTGAGTTGCTACAGTGAAATGACTAGCCTGCTGCATAATTTTTTCACTTTGATCTTTGGGGTGTCTTTGAATTCAGCTCTCTGTAGGTTGAAAATTTTCATTTCCATCAAACGATGTGGCATCCTTTCATTCCTAACACATTACCCAGTCCATATCAGTATAGATATCCAGCATAATATTTTTTCCTATTGAGATCTGATGTCTTTTCAAAGTGTTCCATTAATTTTTTAAAACGGTGTATATATTGCGATATATCATTATCATGAATTTGTGATAATCACGTAGAGCAAAATATGACATTGTGGCAGCCCTACTACAATTAGATTGTATTACATTATGTTAAATAACATTGTAATATCTTAGGTAAAACAATGCAAAATGTTAATCGTATTTACTCTGGATCTATTTTACTGGAATGTTTAAGTCTTTTAAGGACAGGACAATCAAAGGACAAAAGGACAAGGAAATCACTGGGGCAAGAGATGGGAAACAGGATTAGGACATGATGCAGGCCAGACTGAAACCAACATCATGAGCCTGTGCGTTTCCCACTGTACCATGGCTGGCTTTTAAAATTCTGAGACATTGATAGATTTGATTAGATTAAATGTCGGTGATCTGATGATGAAAAATGTGATAAATATCCTGTCGGGTTTTTTTCTTGACATGCTGATATGCAAAACGGAGGATCTTTGACAGTTTAGTCTTTCAACAGCAT